CCACAGCACTGCACTCCAGCCAGCACTCCACTGCACCTGAGATCCAGGCCAGCCAGCACTGCACTCCAGCCAGCACTGCACTCCAGCCCAGCACTGCACTGTGCCACATCACTGCACTCCAGCCAGCACTCCACTGCACCTGAGATCCAGGCCAGCCAGCACTGCACTCCACCACAGCACTCCACTCCAGCCAGCTCTGCACTCCAGCCCAACACTCCACTCCAGCCAGCTCTGTACTCCAGCCCAATACTCCACTCCAGCCAGCTCTGTACTCCAGCCAGCACTGCACTCAACCACAACACTGCACTCCAGCCCAACACTCCACTCCAGCCCAGCACTGCACTCCAGCCCTGCACTGCACTCCAGCCAGCACTCCACTCCAGCCCGACACTCCACTAGAGCACAACACTCCACTCCAACCAGCACTGCACTCCAGCCAGCACTGCACTCCACCACAGCACTGCACTCCAGCCAGCACTACACTCCAGACCTGCACTGCATTCCAGCCTGAGCTCCACTCTAGCCAGCACTGCATTCCATTCAGCATTGCACTCCAGCCCGAGGCCCAGTCCAGCCAGTGATCCACTCAAGCTCAGCACTCCACTCCAGCCAGCACTGCACTCCAGCCCATCACTCCATTCCAGGGAGCCTCTGTACTCCAGCCAGCACTGCACTCAACCACAACACTGCACTCCAGCCTAACACTCCAGTCCAGCCCTGCACTGCACTCCAGCCAGCACTCTAATCCAGCCCCACACTCCACTAGAGCACAACACTCCACTCCAACCAGCACTGCACTCTAGCAAGCACTACACTCCAGACTTGCACTGCATTCCAGCCTGAGCTCCACTCTAGCCAGCACTGTACTCCACCTCATCACAGCACTCCAGCCCGAGGTCCAGTCCAGCCAGCACTCCACTCAAGCCCAGCACTCCACTCCAGCCAGCACTGCACTCCATCACAGCACTGCACTCCAGCCAGCTCTGTACTCCAGCCAGCACTGAATTCAACTAAAACACTGCACTCCAGTCCAACACTCCACTGCACTCCAGACCTGCACAGCCTTCCAGCCCAGCACTGCACTCCAGCCAGCACTCAACTCCAGCCAACTCTGTAATCCAGCCAGCACTGCACTCAACCACAACACTACACTCCAGCCAGCAAGGCACTCCAGCCCAGCAGTGCACTCAACAACAGCATGGCACTCCAGCCAGCATGGCACTGCAGCCTAGCATGGCACTCCAGACAGCACTGCACTCCAGCCAGCACTGCACTCCAGCCAGCACTGCACTCCAGCCAGAACTGCACTCCACCAAATCACTGCACTCCACCACAGCACTGCATTCCAGCCAGCACTACACTTCAGCCCTGGACTCCACTCCAACGAGCAATGCAGTCCAGCCCAGCACTCACTCTGGCCCTGCACTTCACTCCAGTCAAAACTCCACTCCAGCACAAAACTCCACTCCAACCAGCACTGCACTCCAGCCAAACACTCCACTCAAGCCCAACACTGCACTCCAGCCAGCACTGCATTCCAGCCAGCACTACACTACACTCAGGACTACACTCCACCCAGCACTACACTCTAGCCCAACACTCCACTCCAGCCAACACTCCACTCCAGCAAAACCCTCCACTCCAGCCAGCACTCTACTCCAGCCCAACACTCCACTCCAGCCCAGCACTCCAGCCCAGCACTGCACTCCACTCCAAACCAGAACTCCACTCCAGCCCAGCACTCCAGCCCAGCACTGCACTCCACTACAACCCAATACCCCACTCCACCAGCACTCCACTCCACCAGCACTCCACTCCACCAGCACTCCATTCCAGCCCAACACTGCACTCCAGCCAGCACTCAACTTCAGCCCAGCACTCCACTCCAGCCCAACACTGCACTCCAGCTTAGCAGTCCACTCCAGCCAGCACTCCAGCCCAGCATTGCACTCCACTACAGCCCAGCACTCCACTCCACAGCAGCCCAGCACTCCACTCCACCAGCACTCCACTCCACCAGCACGCCACTCCAGCCCAACATTCCACTCCAGCACTGCACTCCACTCCAGCCCAGCACCCCACTCCACCAGCACTCCACTCCACCAGCACGCCACTCCAGCCCAACATTCCACTCCAGCCCAACACTCCACTCCAGCCCAGCACTCCACTCCAGCCCAGTACTCCAATCCAGCCCAAAACTCCACTCCAGCCACCACCCCAATCCAGCCCAACACTGCACTCCAGCCAACACTTCACTCCAGCCCA